CTTCGTTTCCCACCGCTCGAGGGCGCGGTCGCGGGGCGACATGCTGGGCTCGACGCGCTTGCTCTCCTCCTCGGCAGCAGCGATGAGCGACTGGTCCTCGGCCGTGGCCTTGTTGTTATTGTTGTGGAAGAGGGTGGGGAGCTTCATCTGAGGTGGTTGGTCGGGTGTTGTGTGGCGTCAAGTGAGTGACTGTGATACTGCGAGGTTGGTCGGGCGTTGTGCGTGCTGGTCGGATGTGTGACGGAGCTGAACTCGGGAGTTGGAGTGGTGTGTGCTTTGGGTGGTGTGTGGGCGGACGGAACAGTGGGGAGAACGACGCGAGAAGCGTGCTTTTGTAGTGGTATTGGCGCCAACGAGCTCAACGAACAACCGCGCTATGAGAGGTTGTACATCAGCTAGTACTTGGGCAACATCCGTATCTCCTTTACAGGTACGCTCCGGAGAACTACCGAACCAGTGGTTGGTCAGAAGGAGTTTTTTCTCTTTAATAAAATCCCAGTGACACGGTTGGTAGATTTTTTGGGTACACTTCTAATTGAAAAAAAATATCAAACATTTTACAACAGGAAAATTCAATGAAGGCTCGCCAGAAAGAACGGATTCAAAAAAACAAAACAGCCAACAAGACAACAAATTTCTTTATCACTTTGTCACCTCACACCGCACACTCACCACGAACAAGTACGCTGATACCACGCCGGCCGGCACACTAAGATTGAGATTAACCGAATCTTTGTGCGTGCCGCGTGCGGGTTACTATTTTCAGACTCGTACAGACACCAAGCAAGCATGGAGCAAACAAACGAGAGAAATACCAGCCCACGAACCGGCAGAAGTCGTCTACTTGGCCTTCGGTAATGCACCTCCACCGCATTTTAGGCCTTCAATTTACCCTCCAATCCATATTGGCTGTTGTCTCGCTTTCACAAATGACACAATTGAATGAGAGCATTCTTTTCAGTTCTAATCCAATTTGTTTAATGCAGTGAGTCGCAGGATCCTCAGCAGGAAGGCGACAGTGCAGAAATGAATCCGATGGGCGGCCGGCAGGGCAGCTTCGAGTCATGGAAGGAGGGCGAGGCGCTGCTCGAGCACATGTCGTTCCCGCCCACAGACGAGGAGCTGGCCAACATGCCCACCCTCTCCCCTGCGCAACTTCCGCCCAAGTACACCCGCTCCAATGCCGGCCGTGTCTTCGTCAACCGCAGCCTGCGCCTCGACCGCATCTCCTGGGTCGGCTGTACGGCTCTCGCCACCTGTGCCCTGCAGCTGCGATCTGCGCCTATCTCTCGCCCACGCGCACTGTGCCTTTACTTTAATTTTCTGTATTAGCAGTTTATTATTATTAGAATATTGTCCGCATATTGTTTTGCTGACGTTCTCTTTATCTGTGATGGGTGGTGCTGATGACATATGTCACAGTCGACATGGACTACACGCTGGCAGGTAGCTTACCCCAGGCCCTCAGCACGGCGTCCAATTTGCTCACATTCTTAGCTCGTGCGCTCTTTTTGTGTAGTGTACAAGGAGCCTGTTTTCGAGGCTCTCACCTACGATATCGCCCTGGAGCACATGGTGCAAATCGGCTATCCCGAGTCCATCAGAGGGCTCAAGGTACCCTCCATTCCTGCTGCGAATCCGAGTCCGAGCCCGCACCACCCTGCGCGCGTTCGCTCTTTGTTAGCCCTGACCCTGTCGCACTTCAGTATGACCCGCATTTCCCCATTCGAGGCCTCTTCCTCGACACCCAGCTGGGCAACCTCCTGAAGGTGGACAGCTTCGGCAACATCATCCTGTGCGTCCACGGCAAGTACGTCTCCAATCAACCACTCTGCCATCTGCTCCCGGACTCACGCCTGGCCTCCGACTCATGAAGGAAGCGATGGAAGAAGCACGCCATCTACGGCTCCTACCCGGGCGGCCTGATCCACAACGACGAGATCGGGCGGCGCTTCTACCTGCTCAACACCCTGTTCGCCCTGCCCGAGGCGTGTCTCTACGCCGACTTGGTTGACCACCTGGAGCACCACCAGCAGGTATGCACACTCTCCGCCCGCATTTAATGCGTCGACGCGTGGCTGATGTGACGTGTGAAGGCCAAGAGGAGGGCGCGCACGGCGTCGCAGAAGAAGGCCGCGGCGTCGGAGGGCGAAAGCGAGAGCGAGCCCGACGCGACGTCCGATAACGAGACATTGCACGCCAGCGATGTGGAGCTTTCCTTCAAGAACCTCTTCCAGGACATCCGAACCACCATCGGTGCGCCTTTCCCTGCGCACACACACACACACACGTGCGCTGTTCGTTGCGTTATATGCGTGGTTTACCATCCAAGTGGCTAAACCGAATGAGCGAACAGATTATATTCACGGCGAGGAGGAGCTGAAGAAGGTGGTGGTGTCGGATATCGCCAAGTACATCCACAAGAACGATAAGATGCCGGTTCTGCTTGATCGCCTGCGCAAGGGCGGTAAGAAGCTCTTCCTTCTCACCAACAGCGAGTTCAACTACACCAACAGCGTGATGACCTACCTCCTCGGTGATGCCAACTCTGAATACAGCAGCTGGCGCGACTACTTCGGTACGGCGTCCCCCCCCCTTCGATCGCACATCATGCACCACACAAATGGGACTCAAACGACTCGGTGTGGCCTTCAGATGTGATCATCGTGAACGCAGAAGCCCCGCTTTTTCGCCGAGGGCACGACTCTGCGTATGGTCGACCTCCGCACGGGCATGCTCAAGGTGGGCAAGACCACCTCCTTCGAGCCCGGCCAGGTGTACAACGGCGGGTCGCTTGAGATCTTCAACAGATTCACCAGTACTCTCCCAGTTC